TATTAAAAAATACCAAAGACTAGGTAGCTTATAAACAACAAAACTTATTGCTCACAGTTCTGATAGCTGGGAAGTTCAAGACCAAGGCACACCAGCATGGTCATGTTCTAGTGAAGGTCCTCTTCGGATTCAGAGCTGGGGCTTTCTCATTGTACCTTACTAAGCAGAAGAAGCCAGGAAGCTCTCTGGGGTCTCTTCAAGAGGGCTTCACCCTTGTGACTTCTTCACCTCTCAAAGGATCCATCTCCTAAGGCCATCAGCTTTAGGGGTTAGAATTTCAACATATAAATTAGAGGAGGAAGAACACAAGCATTCAGACCATTACACATATTTTCCACAAATATTCTCCATGAAGAATGTGATTTGACACTAAAATTGGCACTGGCTAGAGACAGAATGTGAATATGAAATGGAGACATATAAATATTATCAAGACACCAGGTCTATTTTTTTTTTCTTTCTAAGTACTCAAACCTGGATTTCATGACCTATGTTTTGAATTAATAATAGCTTTCAGAATCATTGCCATATACTTTGCATAATTTTAACAAACAAGGCTTAATTGGCTCACTGAACTGTGTCTTTGTGAGACTCTAATTTTTCTACAAAAACAGTAAATGCCAACGAGATAGACATCCCTGTTCTTCTAAGCTCTGTTTATGATTCCAAGAAGTAAACAGGCAGTTATTACATTAAAAACATTCTCTGTGTGCCAGCAACATCTAATTTTAATCTGTGGGTCTTTCAGAGAAGAACTAAGGGCTAGGAATGACACAAAGAACCCCAAACTATGCCTGATATCTAAAATCTGAAGCCTGAACCAATTCTACTATGGATAAATAAACCACATGCTTCTTAATGCTGCTGTCTTAATGTACAGAATGGGATAATATTGGCCAACTTAGTCTATAAATAAGATTCTCTTTATTTCTAAGTCACATTGAGACAGCACCATGGAGATATATTATAGACCCATGGCAATAAGTGCTATTTGTCAGATTGGATATGAAACAAATTAAGTGGAATTCTGGTGTCCATATGCATTCATGTCCCAATGGGACCAACATGCCAACTTGGGCAGTTGAAACCCCAGTTGAAGTGCCACCTCCTCTGTGGTCAACTTAATTGCTCCTTCCTTTGTGTTGGCCAAAGAATATCAGAACTTCTGGCTGTTGCACTGGTTTCCTCAGCAGGTTGATGTCTTACAGGGCAGGAACCACGTCTAATGTATCTTCGTATCTCTGGTAGCGCACATAAATCAGTAGCTCAGTGTTTTTAGGGATTCATTTAATGGCGGTCAAGTGTTAGATCAGAATCCTTCCCAATTCTGAATATGTTCTGAAGTGTGCCTACCAGTGTCTATTCTTTATTTTTAGAGTGCTGCTAAACGTACTGAAAAACCATGCACTTTCTGTTTCCATACTGCAAATCACAGCAGGAGAAGGTGATGCTGACCCTCACACTTCTCAGGGCCCTGGCAGGGTGAAGAAGATTAGAAAAATCTTGAGAGCCAAAAGAATTCAGCTCAATGATTTAGGGAAACATTTTTTTTCTGTACCAGACAGTGTGGTGAGCTTTTATCTCACAGGATTCTCACTATAACCACAGGTGGGTACTGTTACTGCACCTATTTTACATACAAAGAAACTGGCACAGAGACGTGTCCAAGAGAGGGAGCCTCTTGAGAGTATTCCCCATGCCTCTCACCTCTGAATCAAGGCAGGACGAATTGCTTCTCCTCTGCATTCCCAGAGACTTGGTACTCAGGCATGGACCTTATTGAATCGTTCTGTGATTAAAGATCCATGTTGGTCTCATTGGCCAAACAGTGAGTTCCAGTATAATTGTGTATTCATCCTGTATAACTGTGGTCGTCGTTTTGCTTCCCCACCTAGGAGAGTGATAGGCTTATAGTAGATTCTTAATAAATGTCTGCTGAATAATTGAATGAGGGGACTCTCTTTCCAAAACTACCACTTCTAGGGAATTCTCCAGAGAAAGGGATGAAGACAGACTCATTCTACTGCCTCAGTTGCGTGCCCCAGCAGGAACTTCCTCAGTGACCTCAGTGACCACTGATGTTTAGGGAAATTAACTGCCTTAATATTTAAAACCAACCCATTATATTTTGCTCAAGCAAAAGTAGTTTTTAAAATAACTTTTTAAAAGTTTCAGAAAGTCAAAGTAGCTTTTAAAAATATATGCAATGGTAAGCTGGGCAATTCCACTTCTAGGAGTTTATCCTAGGACCCTGTATGCCCATAAATGTAAACGTCTGTGTGGGCTGAGCAGGAAATGCAGCAGGCAGAGGAGCTGGGTAACAAGTGTACGTTCTGTCGAAGGTGAGGATGGTGACACTCTGCAATGGGTGCAGTGTGACAAAGGAGATCCAGAGTAACCAAACTGGTTTTCAACAGGACCCAGAAATCTCAATTTTAAAATACTGGCTACAGTAGATTACAAAAAAAAAACCGTACCCACATTATTCCCCTCCCTCTCCCAATGCCCTTTGGGAGAGCCTTCTGATGTGGCTTCTGGGCTGACTTTAGGACTTGCTTTAGCCAACAGAATATTAGCAAAAGGGATGCAAACAGAGGCTTGAAAAGTGCCTGCACACTGGGGTTTGCCCTCTTACTGCCCGTGGGACCGCTGCCACGACTGCCAAGTGAAGAAGGCAGGGAAAACTTCATGTAGCGATGAATGAGCCTGACACGCTGCATGTTACTTGCCAGGCATGCACGTGAGCCATCCCAGATCACCCAGCTCAGCCAGCCCACCAGCTGACCACGGACGCAGGAGGGCCCAGAGGATGCAGAGATTGGCTGAGGTGACCAAGATCAGAACAGTCTAGCTGGCCCCAAGAACTGTGAACTAAGTTTTAGGCCAACTCATGTTGGGGTGGTTTGCTATATAATAAAACTAATTGAGAATGAAATTTAAATACATCTGGCACTCAACAAAAGAAGGATCCAATTCATTGTTACTGCTGGTGAATGTAAAGATTTAGCAACAAGGAACTGCCTTGCATCACATCACCGCTTCTAACAGTCAAAAAGCAAAAGCTACCCAAAGATCCATCTTGGCTAATGGGAAAGTGGTTAGCGAATGACGGCACAGACCTATGCTGGCATGGTATGCTGCTGCTAAACCCGATGGTGTGGCAGCCACACACGGGCCTATCACAGTGGGTGCGCCACCAAATCTGCATCAGCACAGTATGACTGCTCCCCGAACACGTACTCTTGCAGAAATGAACACTGAGCCGAGTGGATCACACAGTACAGTGGAGAGGGCTTCTTACTAGAAGAAATAAATAAAAAGCTCAGAATAAGGCCCAGAATGTTTGTGGGAAAGTGCTCATCTTTGCTTTTTCAGGGTGTAAGTGTGTGTGGGAGCAGCAAAAAGCTCTACTGAAGCAATGACATGGCTCTAAAGGGGATCAAACAGTGGGATAATGGTGGGTGTTTTGACAGTGAAAGACAGTCCTACATTCAGTAGCTAGAGTCTTTTAATTTCTTCAGGCATGCTGCCAAAACGACAGGACTTGGAAGTGTGCTCCAAACACAAAGGATGCTGAAAATCACTGGTATAGAAAAATCTTTAATGACATGGAAAGATAGCTATATGTTAAATAAAAGAAGCCAAGTGTAAAACAGCAATGTACAATACAATCCTTTTTTTATTGAAGTATAATTGACATATAATATCCTATTATTTTCAGGCATATATCATAGTGATTCAATATTTTTACACATTATGAAGGGACACCCATGATAAATCTAGTTAACACATATCATCACACAAAGTTATTACAATATTATTGACTATGTTTCCTATGCTATACATTGTATCCCCGTGAGTTATTTATTTTATAGCTGGAAGTTGGTACCTCTTAATCCCCTTAATCCATTTTCCCTGTCCTCCCAACCCATCCCCTCTCCAGCCCCCATAACCAACGTTTTATTTTCTGTACCTATGATTCTCTTTCTGTTTTGTTTTGTTTGTTCATTTGTTTTGTTTTTTAGACTCCACATATAAATGAAATCATATGGCATTTGTCTTTTTTGATTTATTTCACTTAGCATGATACCCTCAAATTTCATCTATGTTGTCATGAATGGCAAGATTTCATTATTTTTTATGGCTGAGGAATATTCCATTCTCTATATATGCCACATCTTCTTTATCCATTCATCTATCGATGGATACTTAGGTTGCTTCCATATCTTGACTATTGTAAATAATGTTTCCATAAACATAGGGGTGCAGATAGCTTTTTGAGCTAGTGTTTTCATCTTTTCTGGGTAAATCCCCAGAAGTGGAATTACTGGATTGCATGGTACTTCTGTTTTTGTTTTTCTGAGGAATCTCCAAACAGTTTCCCCCAGTGGCTGCACCAGTTTGCATTCCCACCAATAGTGCACAAGAGTTTCCTTTTCTCCACATCCTCACCAATCTTTGTTATTTCTTGTCTTTTTGATACCAGCCATTTTGATAGGTATGAGGTGATATCTATCTCATTGTGGTTTTGATTTGCATTTCCCTCATGTGGATGATGTTGAGTATCTTTTCATGTGTCTGTTGGCCATCTGTCATCTCTGGAAAAAAGTCTGTTCAGGTCTTCTGCACATTTTCTAATTGGATTACTTGTTTTTCTGGTGTTGAGTTATATGAGTTCTTTATATATTTCGATATTAAGCCCTTATCAGATACAGCTTTTGCAAATATTTTCTCCCATTCAGTAGGTTGCCTTTTTGTCTTGTTGATGGCTTCTTTTGCTGTGCAGAAGCTTTTTGGTTCGGTGTAGTCCCAATAGTCTATTCTTGCATTTGCTTCGCTTGCCTGGGGAAACATAGCCATACATACATTGCTAAGGTTGATGTCTAAAAGATTACTGCCTGTGTCTTCTTTTAGAAGTTTTATGGTTTCAGGTCTCACATTTAGGTCTTTAACCCATTTTGAGATTATTCTTATGAATGGTGTGAGACAGTGTTCTAGTTTCTTTTTTTTTTTTGTATGTAACTCTCCAGTTTTCCCACCATCACTTGCTGAAGAGATTATCTTTTCCCCAGTTATATTTTCTTGCCCCCTCTATTGTAGATTAATTGACCATGTACACATGGGTTTGTTTCTGGGCTTTGAGTTCTGTGCCATTGAGCCATGTGTCTATTTGTGTGCCAGTACCATACTTTTGATTATTATAGCTTTGTAGTATATTTCAAAAACTGGGGTTCCTACATGATACCCACATCTTTTATTTTTGTGCATCATTTACTTAGTATAGTTGTTGATTTGACACAATCCCAATTTTCATTATAAAAATTGCAGCCATAGGAAAGTAACTGGGGGTAGAGATTAAACTAGGGTGTTACACTGGTTATCTTTGAAAGACAAGAGTAGGGGTCATTTTTATTTCTTTATTATTGCCCATTGGTATTTTTCAAACTGCCTTAATGAGCATGCACTATTTTTTATACTGAGAAAATTTAATAAAAGTTATAGTTTTTAAAAACTAAGAGGCATACTCATGAATGTACATGCATGTGTATCCCAAACCAAAGTGAAGTGAGAATTTATCTTTTTTTTTTGTCAGTGCTTGCAAATACTCTGCCACTTCACTGTACTCATTCAGAATTCTATTGGGGGTAGGCAGCCTCTAGAAATGTAGAATCTTCTACCGTGCAAAAACACATGGATGCCTTGCAGGCGTGTCACCTACTCACTTCTCTCAGGAGGTAGGCAGATGCATTCAGTGTCACTTTTCACAGCCACAGGCAGAAATGAGGTAGTGATTTAGATGCTCTGTTCTTCCATCTGCTAATCTTCTGTAAGAATATGAACAGGCCTAGCATGTGCGACTGCTATTTGATGGTGGAGGCACCCTGCTCCTTAAGGGCAACAAGTCAGAGCTCTGATGGCCCTGGCAATCCATGATGGGCAAGTTCATCACAAATTGTCCTTCACTGCTGACAGAGCACCAAGGTGTCTTTGTGCAGGACAGAGCCCAAGCACAGGCTGGGAACATGAACTTGCCTATCATCAGACCCCCTTCTAAAATGCCATCTAGTCAGGTGCGGCAGAGCCCGGCCGTACTCACTTGGCCATAAATGCGATAAGAACAAAAGCCAAAGCAATTCCCTATTAACAAACCCAGACGGACAAACAGCAACATAACAAGTCCAAGTTTCAAAATGACAGGCAGTTCCTTGAAGATGCCAGAAGTAAGTCTATCACTAGCACAGTTATGGGGCCAAAAGTCTGAGAATTTTACAAGACAGTGAATTAATGGCTGAGCTACGAAGTGGAAAATTAAAGCTGATGGGGCCAGGAGACCACCCTTTTGAACTGCTTGTTGAACTGTGAAATAACTGATCTTTTTGAGCAAAGAGAATATGGTTGCCAGACATCTGAGAGGATGTGATCAACACGCCACCGTCACCTTTGTGAGCACTCATTTCACATTCAGCTCTTCCATTCTATATACTTGTCCCAGAACATAGTGAGGTAAAAAGTCTAGTTTTTTTCCCTTTGAAAAAAATCCTCAGTTAAGTTAGGATTAGGATATAGATTCCCCAGTTATTCAGAAGAACAGATCACAGACTGGGAATGTCCACCTGTTCCTCTCTTGATTGGACCCATGGTAGAGTTAGTCCATTACATCACAGGTTAAAGCTTAGTGGGAAACATGGTAATAGCACTTCCTCCTGCAGTGCCCTCACCTTTAGCCACTATTCGGCTTTGCCTGTGAACTCTGTCCATGTGCAGCCACAGCAGCAAATTAACAGCTATCATTTCCTGAGAGCTGACAAGGGGCAAGGCACTAGATGAGCCCTTGGTAGATATTATTTCTTTAACCATCACAAAAATCTTAGAAGAGGGGACAATCATTTCCTCATCTGTAGAGGGTTAGAGAAGTGGAGTGATTTGTCCCAGGTGATGCTGCTGGCATCAGGGGGAGAGCAGGACTCAAGCTTCTTCGAGGGGCATGTGAGAAAGATGAGAAGCAGCATGGAGCAGCGGGAAAGGAGCAGGGCTCCAAAGACACCCATTCTAGCTCATTCAGCCCCAGAAAATCACTCAAGTTCATTACAGAAGGAAGCTCACCTCTCTGGCCCTACTACTTTATAGGAGTTTTGTGAGGTCCAAATGAGATCACATACCTGAAAACTCTTGAAAATAGTATAGCATTTTTCAAGTGACAAATGACAAATACCATGGATCATTAACAAAAAGACAGAAGACTAAATCATACTCATTAAGACCACGACATTTAAATCCCTACAGTCTCAATGGAAAGACCACACCCTCTTTTGTCCCCCAACTAAATCCTTTAAACAAATGGCACAGTTATTTTCTTAAGCAACCTTTTAACGATCAAGGGCTCAGGTGTGCATGCTGGTTTGAACTGGCCTTGCAAGGAGCGTCAATGTCTTAAATTTAATGCAGGCACCCTGCCTATTTATCCTGACTGGAGAAAGTAAGCATGTTGTTATTACTTGTAATTCTGTTTCAAAAAAATGACTTCTGTAGTTTTGTACTTTTAATCTATGCACTACAGGAATGAGAAAAGCAAAAGATACTGTCTCATGAAAGGGCCACATTATATACAGGAATCCACTTTTTATTATCATCATCATTAATAGCAGAGTCCACAGTTCAGTTCCCAGGCAATATAAAAATGGATGCTTTATATATAGGACACCTGCATGTTAATACGATAACCCAGTAGGGTTTTTTTTTTTTTTTTTTTTTTGAGCCACTATGATTTAACAGTTTACTGAAAGGCAACCACACAGTTAAAACCTGCACAATTAAAACCATGCAATCTTCAAGCAATTAAAAACAATGAATCATCAAGTCAATGTGGTAGAGCCACTGAGTAATCCGGGCTTTCAAGTAATATAATCTGGAAACCCTGTTTTCTCCTTTTACCTAAGAATCATTAAAAAAGAAAAGAAAAACAACAGCAAAACCCGAAAACTAACCGCCCTGGGAGAAAGTCAGGATTCCGCGTATGCGACTTGGGGACACACTGCCTATGGGTGGGGGGAGGGAGACACCATTATTCCAACATGTGCTGGAGCACCGAGGGATCTACCTCCACGGCCTGGAGGCCTCTCTGCAAGCTCTGGAAGGTGGCCTGCTTCCCATAGCGTTGCCTCCAGCGGACGAAGGCCTCCACCATCTGTGACTGCACATTGTGGGGGTGGTTGACCTTACAGCGGTAGATATCCGTCTGGGACAGTCCCAGAGACAGCACCACAGGCTCCCACTCGGGGCCCAGTCTCTGGGCCAGCTGGTTAATCTGCCGGTCCGACGGGGAGCTGTTGAGGATGTGTGGGGGGATAGAGGTCATCCGGTCATCTGGGGAAGAGAAAGACACGAAGGTGAAAAGAGCAAACACATCAGATGGGGGCAGAAATGAAAAATGTTGGAGAACAGCACAACACTTCCCTATGGAAGGGCTAACTTTTCCTAGTCTTCGTGGGGGCTGCTCAGTAAAAGGTCATAAATAGGAGCCTACAAAATACCCTTTAGCATCTATGACAATGTTTATTGCAGAAAACGTGAAAACAAGAAAATAACAATACTATATATCCCATGAGAGAAACCTACTAATAATGATTTGACTGACAGTAAAACCTTGGTTTGCAAGCATAATTCGTTCCAGAAACATGCTTGTAATCCAAAGCACTTGTATATCAAAGTGAATTTCAAGAACCATTGGCTCTGTTGTGATCATGTGTTCGGCATCACATACCACTCGTTTTGCAAGATATTGCTCATGTATCAAGTTAAAATTTATTAGAAACGTTTGCTTATCTTGCAGAACATTTGCAGAACAAGTTACTCGCAATCCAAAGTTTTACCGATAGTTCTTTTCAGTTTTTTGTATATAAAATATACGTTTAGGATTACCTGGAACATGCTGCTTTGTAACATGATTTTTTCACTTCCGTATCTTTTATCAGAGAGGCCAAGCAGCAGGTTCTGGGGGAATGAAGAATGCCAGCCCGGGCCGAGGGGGTGACACTCTCTCCCGCAGGAATGGCTAGTGCTGGGGTGTAATGGGCTAAAGCGAATAGCTACTCTCTTCTGATAAACTTGAACATTGCCCAGAGAAGTTGCAGTTTCTAACAGAAGCAAAAGCAAAGAGGCCTGCTGAGAAAAAATAAAGTTTTGGGGCCACGAGGTAGCAGAAAGAGAGTTACCACCCTGTAGAGCCCAGTGGAGGAAGAGAAAGCATGTGCTGTGGAGGGGCAATTAGAGAACCTGACCTTGCACTCCCTAGATCCCAGTCTCCCCCAGGCCAGTCTGCTAAGGAACTCTCACACTGAGTGACTACAGACGGGCTAGGCATATCCGGTAAGAAGTCCCATCAGTTACCATGTAGAAGGCCTTCTAGAGGAAGGAGCTTAAAGCTAGGCCCTGAACGGAAGACAAAGAGCCCAGTGAATGGAAAGATAAAGAAGTGAGTCTTGCACAGAGGGAATTGCCTGTACAGAGGCCGTGAGGCAGAAAACCATGGTAAATCAAAGAAAAGAAAGCGGGTCAGTGTGGTTAAGCGCAGAGATTGAGAAGGACTCCAAACATTCAAAATTCTGGTACTGCTTATTGGCTACGCCAGGACTAGAAGTGAGGTTTTCATATTCCTGGCTCAGACGTGTGTACAACAGCACTATACTTGTACTACGCTTAGTCACCAGTATTACAGGCATCTGAGTCAATCCCACTTCACACTCACCAGCTCATTGTTTAGATTTATGAATTCAAGAAGAAGGCACAAAGCATCCTATTAGAAGAGCTAATGTTTTCCACCGCATGTGCCTTTGGCCCCGAGGCAGTTGCCAATATCTTAGGCATGAGTTGCAAAAATATGGTCAGGGACTCTTTTTGGTGTTTGTTAAGACTATAATCTTTTTTTGGAAATGATTAAGAAGCAATTAGAATAATGATGATACTACTGACCAATATTTTATATTAACAGTAATGATTTTATAGCTTTTATAAAAACATGGGCACTTTTATAAAAACGTGAGCTCATTGAAAAACATCAAGCAACATAAAAAAAAGTACAAAGAAGAAAACAAGTCACCCAATATCTCACCACTAGACTTACAGTTGGTGCACATCATCCTGGATATTTCTTTATGCACAGATACTGCTAAAAGGGTAATATAATAGCTTTTTTCTCATAGGAGTTATTGATTTTTGCTTGAATATAACGGAAAAAAAAAAACAAAGATGAAACCAAATGGCTTTCTGACCTACAGTTAAATATTTAAACAACAATTTAACACATACACCCAAAAGATTTAATGCTGAGAAAAAAAAGTATATGAAAATTTAAGAGTTAAACTATATATTTTCACATTAATGCTCTGTAATTAACCCTTGATATTTCCTGTTTCTTTCCTCATAATTTTTCTTGCTTATGTCATTTTTATTGTGTTGGGTGCATAACATTTTTATGCTTCTGTGACAATAATCTGCCACCCCTCCCCCAAGCTTAGTCTTAAAACTACATTATAATGGTTTGAATGTTCACCAAGGCTTTTTTTGTTGTTACTTTTTTGTTTTGTTTTGTTTTTAAACCATGGCTTTTCTACTTCTGAATCTGTTATTTTGATTTGAGTCATTTGGGTCAATTTCATCAAAGGGTGATGTTTTTCAAGAAATGCTCAGGGTCACCATATTCTTTGAGTTCCTCCAGATCAGGACTGTCTGCTTTCTGCTTTCACTGTTGAATAATAAGCAAACAATTTTATCTTATGTTGTCTTACTATTATACTTTTAAATTATAAATATAATTCTACATTATTTAAATAATTTTATTCCTCTTACAAGTTTGTAGACTGTGCTCATATTTTATGGTGAGGAATGTCGGCATGGAGAATTCGGACACCAACTTGACCATCCCTCATTTTGTATAACTTGCTTTTTCTATCTGAAGCTTCTGATCCTGAAGCTTTAGACCAGCGTACATCTTGGCCATTCTCTATCTTCTTTCCCAGGTATGTAGCATGATTAGCTCTTCCTCCCTTTCAGAAAAATCTTCCTGTTGTATCTCTGCATTTTTTTCTGTTGCAGATGCTGGATGGCTTTGCCGATCTGCCATGGCTATCACTTTCAGTCTTATTACCTTAACTCCTTTCCTGTGATTATTGCATGCCTTTCCCCCCATGCCATTTGTTTGATGTTTAGTTATGTTTATGCTGTTTTATTTTGCTTTGGGGTTTTTTTCTGGTTCAAATCTTATATTGTGTTTTTTTTTTTTTTTTTTTTATCAATTTCTTTTCTTGGCTCTTTAATCTAGCTTTTAAAAATCCCATTCCACTTCATATCCATTAGGATGGCTACTATAAAAAAAACAAAAACAAAAAAAAAACCCCAAAACCTCCAGAAAATAACAAGTGTTGGTGAGGATGTAAAATGGTACGGCTGCTATGGCAGAGTATGGTGGCTCCTTAAACAATTAAAAATGGAATTACCATACAATCCAGCAATTCTACTTCTGGGTCATAGTCCCAAAAGGACTGAAGCAGTGACTTAAATAGATATTTATACACCCATCTTCATAGCAGGATTGTTCCCAGTAGCCAAAAAGTAAAAGCAACCCAAGTGTCTATCGAGGGATGAAGGGATAAACAAAATGTGGTAGATTACACATTAGGATATTATTCAGTCTTAAAAATGATGAAATTCTCAAATCATTCTACATGTGTGAAAGTGGAGGACATTATGCTAATTGAAATCAGCCAGTCACAAAGGGACAAGCACTCTATGATCTCACTCATATGAGGAACCTACAGTAGTCAAATTCATTGAGATGGAAAGAAGGATGGTCACCAGGGCAGGGAGGAGGAGAATGGAAAACTGTTTAACGGGTAGTCGATTCTGCAAGATGAAAAGAGTTTTGGAGGTTAGCTGCACAATGTGAATGTACTTAACACTATGGAATTATATACCTAAAAACGGAAAAAGTGGCAAATTGTATGTTATGTATATTTTACCACAACTAAAAATAAAAATTAGCAGCATCTGGCTGGCTCAATTGGTTGGCTCAGGTCATGATCTCACAGTTCATGGGATCGAGACCTGCGTCGGGCTCTGTGCTGTCAGACAGAGCTTGCTTGGGATTCTCTCTCTCTCCCTCTCTTTTAGTCCCTTCCTTACATGTGCATGCATGTATGCACCCTCTCTTTCTCCCTCTCAAAATAAATTTAAAAAACAAAAAATAAGTAAAAGGAGGGACTAATCTTAGAAAAATAAAGAATAATAAAAAGTTTAAAAATCTCATGTTTTTATCATAACTACACTGAGTTTTTATTTCCACTAAATTGATACTGAGCTCTCCTACAGCATGAAATACTCGTGAGGTTGAGTTTTCTTGGGTTGGGTTTCCACCCAGGCCAAATTGGTGTATGTTTACTTTCTGCAAGCCGTGTTCCTTCCTTTTTTCTACTGTGGCATTTTCACACAGTTGTCATAACACCTATCTTCATCTTGCTGCCATTTAACATGGGCATCTCTATCCAGGACTTCTGTTTGCTCTCTTATAGTAAGGTAAGGTACCTGTGACACTCTCCCTCTGAGCTAAAATTTGAGATTGGCCGTTGCCTTCTATGCAGAGAGAGCAGAGAGAGATAGGACTCGTTAGCCTGCCCTTGCAGAGAGTGCAGTGCCCTGCTCTCTCTTTTGGAAGCCAGTTAAATGTCTTGTGCTGAGCCTGCTTTGCCTCGTCAGGGTGCACTCACTCCTGTGGTCTCTTTCCTGTAGGTCCGCGTGGAGACTGGGAGAAGGCCGGCCCTTGGTCGCCTTCCTGCCCCTGCTGAGGCTGTTTCCTGACATTTACTAAGGCCATCTACTCACCTCCTCCACCAGCTTCTTTTCATACTGATCTGAATTAATAGCAATCCTTAGGATTTTGTATCCTTCCCTTCTTTTCCCAGGACTGCTTCTCAGGGTCGGGGTCTGGTGTTCCTTGCCCTGCCTGCCGCTTTCCAAAGCACATGGCATAAAAGCCGTGACTGGGTTTTGTTGTTGTTGTTGTTTGACTGCTGCTGGCGAATGCTTCTGTTTTTAACTTTTCTGCTTCAGTTCATCGGGTGTCAGGGAGGAGCCTGTGACTCTGCGGCACTAGGTCATCATTCTGTCTCCTGGCCAACTATTAACGCAACATACTCTTCGGGCCAATTATTTGGGAGCAAGGGCAGAATTTGCTCTCATTCGTCTACACTTTCAGGGTCACATATCCCTTGTGAATACTGTCACATAACTGGGAGAGGGCCAGCAATCTGTGGACACAGGCTGGAGCAAAGATAACTGGCACATGGGCACGACGCAGCCAAGAGCAACTCGAG